AGACAGGGACAGAGAGAGAGAGAGAGAGAGAGAGGGAGAGAGAGAGAGAGAGAGAGAGAGAGAGAGAGAGAGGGAGAGAGAGGGAAAGAGAGATGAAGAAAGGATTCGTATTATTGCTCTTTAGGGATTAGGGTCTCTAGTTCTGCGACAAGCTGTACTACTCTCCGTCTTATAATAACAGAGGCCTACCCTTCCTCGAATGCCTGCGTTGTGTTCTCCACGTTCTCCTGTGCGCCTAAGGACAGCTCCGATTAAGCTAGGAATCTAGTTGTTTCGTGCGACTACTACGTCCCACGTCTAATCTCTCGTGTTTTGCCATTGTTGTGTGCTGAGGTGCATCGCGAGAACTACAACGTGATCCAAAGAAACAAAAGTAGCAGCAAGAGAGCGCGGTGTTTTCACAAATAATATCGAGAAGCAAAGCACCACCGTCAAAATCGTCCGTCGTATGATTTTGGATAAGGAGAAGTTTCTAAGTTTATCGAAGAACGTGCGACTAAAGGAAGCACGCCACGCGACTGTTGAGAGACGCGTTGAATGATCCTAATTGTTAAATATAATAAAACCGTGTTTAACGGGGCAGCTTTATTTGCCTAAGCGTCGCATCTCACGAACCGTTATAGGCTGGAGGGAGACAGTAGACATAATCTGTAGAAACTCTCCTCTTCCGTCGAGCCTTGAAGTCGTTTTGGGGGAAAACAAGACATTTATAAACACCCACCGCGAGATTAGATTTGTTAAGATAATGAGGCGCCCGGTTTAGCGAAGCGCCTCCGCCGTGCCTGCAACCATCATCCTCAAGAGCCTGCAACCGCCGTCTCCTTAATCCGGGATATGACCTCGCACGGGGAGAGAGAGAGAGAGAGAGAGAGAGAGAGAGAGAGAGAGGAGAGAGAGACGGTTGGGACCGTTGCAGGATGCGGGCTCGCGGCAAGATACGTTCTCCTTCGCCGAATTTGCCGAGACGAAAACGCCATTACAGCGTTTCAGATGTTACCCCAGCAGGAAATATTGTAAATTGTGAGCCAAATCGCGATATCGACGTTAATAATACGCGGTCTCGTGTGGGACTTCGCGGAGAAAATGTTTTAAAGATTGTAGAAAAGGAAAATTGTATGTTACGTTGACAAAATCGCTATATCGCACGACGTCTCCCGCGGCTTGAATTTCGCGCAGGGAGACGAGGCGATTCGAATGGCGAAGAGAAGGACGTCGATCCAGGCTCGATCAGGATTTATTCTTATCGCGACGCAGGCGGCCGTATCCGGCGACGCGTTATCTCAGCCTCGGTGAATAGAGCACAATAAAATTTAACGGTCCGTCAGACCCGTTGCGGCATCCCCGTGCCCGAATAAGCAGCCAATAAATACCGGCGGAACAAGGCGGCTACAAATCTCAAGATAAACAGGAGCCTGTATTTTTCTACCCCCTTGACTTCCGGGCGAAGCGGCGCCTCCTCTCCTCGCGCCTCCTCCGAAGCTCGTGGAGAAAGGGCCGCGCGCTTCTGCCCTTTTTACATTCCACGTATGAATTATTAGGTGGCCGGACCTAAGGGGTGGACCACCGCGGTATTTAATTTTCACTCCCCGCTTTAAAACAGGACGAATTTTTCCCTAATCGCATCCCTGACGATGAAAGTGCGGTCGGCAGTTTGTCACCGACCCTTCGTTCTATTATCAATGTATTAGCGCGCCTCGGCCGCGTCGAGTCGTATATCAATTTGTAGCGTCGCTGCCGCGTGGACCGCGATTGCTTATCGGCTAAGAACGTTTCCGGGTGTGCGTATTAACGAGATGAGAGAGACGGCGGCGCGGCCGCGTTGCCGAGGCAGGTGGATCAGCGCGTGAACGTGCGCGCCAAGCCAATTAAGGGAGAACGACGACGGAGAGCGAGCGCCGAGACAGACCTAAGGTCTGGAGGCTGCCGATGATGTATGTGGTGGAAAATACTGGAGGCAATCTGTCACGCCATCGACGTCGTCCCGCAGGCGCTTGCCTCTCCTCTTCCTTCCCCTCTGCCCCTTTGCCTCCTTCCCCTCGTTGTCGTTGAAAATTGTAGAAATATCGTGGTAATAATTTGCATAATAATTTTGCTCCTTCAGCAGAAACGAATGTGCAGCGGAGAGAATGGAGAGACGAAAGAAATGATACTGTTTAAACCTCAGAAAACAATGTCTCCTGTCCTGTTTAGGTTGATGTTTGTTTCGCAGGTTAACTCAGCGAAAGAATACGCGGATTTAGTTTCTTGTCGCATTTTATCGCGTTCTTTTATTTTTTAAATGTTGACTGTATGCCGGCCTGCTTGATGCCGCTATTATACTTTCTTTTCTCTTCATCCGCGCAGCGACGAAGCTCGTGAAAAATTTCAACGAGCGTTACACGCAAGCGAGTTACCAATAAGCAGGCTCCCCCTGGCTCCTTTCGAAAGAAGCGACTGCCGCCTTCTCTCCCTCACGCTCCGCGAGCGTGGACGAGATTCGTACTTTCCTCATTTCCTCGCTGCCTTTTTCCTCCTCGAACGAGCTCCTTCCGGGTGTATATACGGCTGATTAAACGCGCAACTATGTAACGTTACGCAAATATACCGGCCTCGGGCCCGCCGCGTCGGCCCTCCTCCTCGACGTCCCTCATCCCCGAAGACAGACCGGCGTCGTTCCGCTCTCGATTCCACCTTTCGACTCTCTTTGAATTCCAACCCCGGTCACTTGACGGAAATATTTATCGAGGGTCTCCGGCGGCGAGGCCCCCCTCTCGTTGCCCTACTCCTTCGGGCTAGACAGGACGACGACAGGACGAGGCGCGGTCGCTCGTAATTCTCCGATACCTTTCGTCGGCGGCTGCTCCGTCCCTATCCGCGCGCCGGCTATCCTCGCGTTCCCTCTCGTTCTCGCGAGTTCTTTGATCCATTTTACGGAGTTTGTTTGGTACGGATTATTTACCCTCTTAATTACATTTCGATTCCACCTCTCTCCTCGTCCCGTCGCTTCGTCGCTCTCTTTCTTTCTCTTTCCCAGCCCCTTCTCTCTCTCTCTCTCTCTCTCTCTCTCTCTCTTCGTCTCTCGTTCTCTCTTCTCGTTAGGCTGCCAAACGACTCTGATCGTCAGCACCGGTGCGCCACTCGCTCTTGACTTGTCGATCGCACCGAGCTAGTAAGCGCACGCGAGTATTCGCAGCGTATTAATTTCGTCACGTGGACTTCGATACCCCGCGAGACGACGAGACGACTTTTAAATTCTCCGGCGCTCTCGTCCTCTCCTCCGCCAGCCGGCGATGACGGAGAGTGAGCCGCAGCTGATTTACATTTCTTTCTCTTGTCGGCATAAAAATTCCACGGCGATAACTTCCTTTGTTCCACCCTCCGTGGTCGCGAGAACGAGCGACCCCTGCGGCTTCAGAGCCGCGGGGGTGCCGTCTCGTAGCCTCGTCTAGTTTCTCGTCTCCGTATTACATTTTTTTACCCTTAATTAAAGGCAACGTGCCGTTTGGTGGCGAACACGAATCTGCCGTTGGTCGCGACGAAGAAGCGCGAAAGTGCGCGAGACTCGCCTCGCGAGATCGCTCCGCTCCTCTTTTGATTAATGCAGTGTAGAGGAACGGCACAAAGCATCATCGATACGGCTCGCGTTAATTAAACAATTATCCTTCTCCGGATATTCTCGAGGAAGCCGATCCGTTATGCAATTTGTCTGCGGGCCGTGTCCGTGTTAATTAAAATACGAATGCGAGAGGAAATGATCGAAGACGATGAAGGTGAAATGAGACATTAGACGGGAACGTAAAGTCGGCGGAATTGGTGCCGAGATGCCGAGATCGTTCGAGCAGCTTGTTCGGTTTATTTTTTCTCATCCTCCCTGTCGAGTCTGTCTGGACGATAATTACCTTTACATTTTTGCGAAAGTTTTCGCAATTGCGCTCGGAGAATCGCGTCGGAGGCGTGCGGAACGGCGGATCGAGCGGGCCGTAACTGCGCGACGTTCCGCAACTTTATACGTTCCTGATAATCTCTCGGAGAGCACCGGGACGGTTATTCGCGGTGGTCGTCGGGATTTATGAAATGGCAATAAAATTTATATGACTCGCTGGATCGTTAGGGGTGCGGCTCGCTCGTTCAGATTGATGTCGCTTGCGCCGCGAGTCTGGTCCACTTGCCCGGGGGCTCCGTTTGTTTCTCCCCGCGATCGTCGTAGAACGGTCCGCGCTCGTTATTAATCCCTTGAATATCGCGACAGTCATTTCGGTCATCGCGTAAAAGCAGAAAAAAAGAGAGACAAGAGGGGCGCCGCTTCTGTCTGAATTTGACTCGCGGCTCCTCTTTTAGCGGATCGAGTCTATGCGGGAAATTTATGAGCATCGGAGTTATTATGCAGTTCACTGACGAATGATCGTTAGCTGAGCGGATTTACGCTTAACTCGAATTACGATCGATCGGGACGTGTGAAGTCCTTTGTGGCTGTACATTTTCGCGTTTTTGTGATCACTACACGAGATGAAATCCGAAGGCTGACACTTTTCATCGACTCTCCCATGCTGGGAGAGTTTCGATATTTCGAATTTCTCAATATTCTGAATAGCTCACAATCGGCGAAAGGGATTTATCTTCCACGCACGCAGTTATCCGGCAATTATCCACTCGCGAAAAGTATAACGAAACGAACGGAGCTCGCGAGTTCACGTCGCACTCGCCTGCGTAATCTCATCCGACCGTCGTCTGAGACGCAGAGATATGGGAAAAAAGACGTGTCTGATAACTCACGTATGCTCTGCCGAGCATGATGCCTCGAGGACATGTCTGTCTTCTACCTGTTGCTCGATTCCCCATCGATGGTAGCAAGTATCGCGCGAAGAATTCGACGAGCTTACCTTCCCGTCGCGCTTTCTTCCGCCGACTTGACGCGCGACTCGCTGAGGTGGCAAGCGCGTTGCAATCAGCGGAGAAACGCGACCTCGCGAGAGCAATCTCATGAACCCTCTGATTGATCCATCGCGCTCGTCTTGTTGCAGGTGGACGATCGAGTCAGGTCTCCGGGAACATCACGATGCCTGACCGCTACTACCATGTCGCTCTCCATCTCGCCCTCTAGCCCCGAAGAACCTGTTACGCTGTAAGTAACACACACACACACACACACACACACGTGCGCCACGCGAGTCTTGCGAGCTGTCCGCTGCGCGATACACAAAATTACCGTCGTTATCGGCCGACTGACGACATCGATCATCCCCGTATTATTCCCCGGCTCGGCCGAGACGGTAACATATAGTCGAGCGCAGTCGACGCAGGTTCACGCAGATGACGAATTGAGAAACCTAAGAGCGCGCGTGTCGAAGTAACCCGCTCATTAATGTGAAAACTCGCGGGAAGGGCGGAATGAGCGCGCATATTGAGCAGCAGCGAGAGAGTGTATCGACTGGCTCGTACGAGTGGCTCATCGGCGAAGACCGCGGCTAACGCTTGTGCGCATTCAGCCAAGAAAACGAGTGATTAAAAATCGCGCGACGAAGGCAGAAAGAAAGAGAGAGAGAGAGAGAGAGAGAGAGAGAGAGGTGAGACCGCGCGCAGTTTCCGCCGAAGAGCCACTCAGCCAAATTAGTCGTCGCGGCTCCGCCGCTCGTTGCTCGCGCGAGCAACACGACGACGCTGTTTTCTCGTGTGGTCCAACTACACATCGGCCGTTATCCGGCGTTTCGCCGTTCTTACCGTCGCTGCCGGCTCACGTTCGCAGGCCACCGCAGGGCCTCGCCAAGGCAGGAGGGGGCCGGAGGGGCGATATTTATGCCGGTTTTTTATTGCGCTTTAGCCCGAGAGAGCAGAATGGAAACAATATGTCACCCGGTAGGGAAGGCAGCGGCTGCCGCTAGGTAGGCGGCGGGGGAAAGAAGGGAACCGCGCGAACTTCTTGTAGGTGGCCCGACCGGTGTTACCTAACGTTAATACTAACTCCTCCGCTGTGCCAGCGCCCTCCGACCGACGTCATGATTTTAAATGAACAACCCCCCGTTTCTCTCTGCCCTTCCCGGCCCGTAGAAAACACGCGCGACGGGATTGCCGGCGTGCGTTTGTTCTCTCTTTCTTCATTTTTTTCTCTTCTCGCGATAACACCCTCCCCTCCTCCCCCCCCCCCGATCGAGCTGAGCGACTTTTGAGTCTCTCTCTTGCGCGCGCGTCGCGTCTCCTCTCCCATCGCTCGCTCGCTCGCTTGGTCGCGGATTATTCGGTCATCCGGGGTGTGATCGATCGACGTGGCACTCAAGGAGCGCGAAGGTCTCTTTGTCGAACGGCGTCTTGGCACATGCCGCGGAGCTTCGCCGCGAAGCTTCGCCGCGGAGCTTCAGCGCGAGCCAAGTTAAGATGGATTGTCATTCCGATTTTCATCTACGCAGCGCGAAGAAATTTCCCGCTAGTGGGAAAGTGAGAGCGACATGTAAAGATACCGCGTGGACGTTGATTGGGAAGTTGGTTGATCGCCGTATCGTAATGCAGGTGATTTGAGAACTTTTCGTCCGGCGCGGCTCGTCCTCCGCAGGTGTGAGATGATTTCATCTCGCGACCTAAGAAATGGAAATCTCGAGCGGAATGCGAGCGGTCTATCTGTATAAATAAATCCGGTAATCGGCCGAGCCTCCGAGAGATATTTGAGGTTGGATGATTTCCGGCGGTTCTGACTGTCGCTCGGAGGTGCGCGAAGAGCAGGAGGAAAGAGGGAAAAGAGAAACAGCGGAGGGAAAAGGAAGAAGGAGAGAGAAAAATAGGGGGGAGGGGGCGGACTCGTTATTCGGGGTCTCAAGAGTCATCGGATAAGTGCATATCGATTTCTCCCTATTGGCGAGGGTCGGGCCGCCGGTAAGATCGAGGCGAATGGGAAAAAAGAAGGCGGTAAAAAGGGCAAAGGCTATAAGTAACGGACCGTCTGGTGGAAAGCGCTCGAGGGCGAACAGTGATTTAGAGAAATTAAAACTTTAATTCATGTTCGGGTTCATGGGGGGTTGTGTCTTCTCCCTCCCTCTGTCCTGCCCTCCTACGCTCTTTTCCTCTTTCGCTCAACCGCTCCTCCGCTCCTCCGCCCTGTGGCATTCTGTGGCCCTCCCCCCTCCCCCCCTCCCCCGCCGTCGATCGACTGAAATCCCGCTCCGCGTGTAAATTGGCGAGCACGATCGGTGCTCGACTCGAGCGAGAGAGAGAGAGAGAGAGAGAGAGAGAGAGAGAGAGACTTGCTCGTGCTTTCGCGCGGATACTCTCTAATCCTGCGGCACGCAGGTCTCAAATATTTACGTGTGAGAAAAATGATGCTTCGCGTCTCGCGTCTCGGACTCGACGACGCGCGGAGTCAATCGCGAGCGAGAAATTGGAACGAGGAATTTGCGATCGATGAGCGACAATAAAGAAGCAGGATACATCGCGGCTACTTGTTTCTATCACCGGGGAAAGTATAATGTCTACTTACAACGTATCGGATGATTTACAAGATGAAGGGTGGAACGAGCGAATGTTTCGCTCATCCGGTCATCCGTGTCTATTCGACAGATGCGCGTGTACGCACACACCGGGAGAGGTACGCACACAGACACGTACGATTATTGTCATCTTGATTTAAGCTGCACACGTATTTTAAAGCACAATGACGTCGGGCGGCTCTGTATGGCCGGCATTTGCACAGGAGGCAAATAAAAATCCAATATCGCCGTATAAAGGAGCGCCGATATACACTCCACTGCGCCGGCCCGATGTGTATCCTTAAAGGATTCCCCTCGGCTAATATAAATTATCGATAAATCCCGCGAGTACTCTTCCTTCCGGAAGTGCGTCGGATCCTTCCCTACTCCCGTCGCTAGTGATCTTGTAAAATCACTCGAAGCGAGTGATTACCGCGGAATTATTCTATCCTCTCTCGAGGATTTTTATCGTCATACGCTACCCTCTCAAATGAGACTCTTTTCAATGACTAATATTACTTCCGCACGAGGCCTGTGCGCGAACAGCTCTGTGCAATATTGTTACTCGATCGTTCAGTACCCTAAAAGGCAACGACTCGCGGACAGGAGCGTCGCGATAAATCTACGTTTCGGGAGACGTCCTTACAAACTTTTATGAGCCACTATACAGGATACGGAATATGAGGAAAGGACGTACCCTTTATCTTCCTTTCCCCCTTGGCTTTCGCTGCCCTTCTCTCGGTTCCCCTCTCTGTCGTACCGTCCTTCCTTCTCTCTCTCTCTCTCTCTCTCTCTCTCTCTCTCTATCTCGTTCCTGCGCATCGCGGCTCCGGCTTTTAGGGCAACCTCCGCCTCCAATAAATTCCCATCACAGGCTTGCAGGTACGCCTTCGCCGAGTAAATCATACTGTAAGTGAATCCGAATTGAATGCAATGAGTAAATATGGCTCTCGTGTAATGAAAGGCGGCCACGAGTGCGTGGCGGAAGCCGCGACACGGCCGACTTCCAATTCGAAAGAAATCTCGAGAGCCTCGCGATACCGCATTATTGCATTTTAATGTCACACACCACCCTCAACGTTTTCTCACGCTTCTCGCGCGCGCGGACACGGCGACAGCCGTGCGCGGGAAAATGCCGCCGTGTGCGCGCGTCCTGCTAATATTATTTCTCTTCATTGTGCGAAGCGAGCATACGGTCGAATTTGCGCGTGTTTCCGAGTCGCGCGCGCGTGTGTGCTTGTGTGCGCGTGAACGCGAGTCGAGCAACAACCAGTCGGTGGAAATGCATAAATACATGAGTCGCGGGAGGCAACGAACGAAAGAGGGAGACAAGCTTGGCCCGCATATGTAGCGTGCGACTCGTACCACGTAATAACGCGTGGATAGCTGCTCTCTCTCTCTCTCTCTCTCTCTCTCTCGTCGCGAAAATACGGTCTTTCAAAAGCCTGTACTTCCCCCTCGGGGAAGAGAACGAGAGCGCGGCCTCGGCGCTCGCCGTCGAAAGGGAGCGAGAGGACACATGAGAAATGACAATCTTATTCCACGACTTCCTGTCACCAACTTCGCCCCGCGACGATGCAACGCGACTCCTCCTGTTATCACGCCACAATTGTTCCCCGCTCGTGCCTGTTATTTCTAGGCGTCCGCCGCGCCGCGTCGCGTCAGACTCGACGCTCGCGCTCGCGAAATTGCGCGATTTCGCTCGTCGAACTCTCATCGTCCGAAAATTGCACGTCTGATTGAAACACAGAGAGAGAAAGAGAGAGAGAGAGAGAGAGAGAGAGAGAGAGAAGCGAGCGGTTCATGATTGTCGTTTTTGCGAAGGGCTCTCATAGCCCTTCGAGCGATTCCGACCGTGCGATACACGAGGCCTCCCCCGGGCGCGCTCAGTCCGCCGTGAAGGCGCGTCGATCGTCGCGTAATCGAGGAATTAAACGCTCGCGGACGTGACTCTCGAGATTTTTCCCAATTTCCGCCGCGACGATCGCTCCGACGCCGACGAGAAAAAGCCCGAGATGAGACGCGCCGGAGGAACGCGGCGCGAGACGCGATGACTGCGCCGCAACGGGCGCGGGAAGTAAATACAGGAGGAAGGGATGACTCTGCAGGCATTAGAGAGGCGAGATTCGCATTCCCGCATTACTGTCACGCGAGTAATTACGCACCGTCGAAAGCAACGGTGCGGTGGGGTGCGGAGGGGGTGGCGGTGGTAGCGGCGGAGGCGGCGGCGGCGGCGGCGACGGCGGCGGTGGTGATGGTGATGGTGATGGTGGTGGTGGTGGTGGTGTCGGAGGAGGCGGAGGAGGCGGAGGCGACGGCGGATACGGGGAAGGTAGAACGGGAGGGGTGGAAGGAGCTAGAAGGGTTGCTGTCGCTGTGCTGCTGGCTCGGCGTCTCCCGCCGCCCGCGTTGCGCGATTCGCAGCCAACGGGAGAAACCAGAGCTAATAAAAGCCCACAATTACCTCCGGTTCGAGCCATTTGTCTTGACGGGCGTCTCATGCCCGATATAATTCACCCTGGCAACAACACATTGTTGCCTAATGAGGTGTAAAACATTCCGAGATATCTGGCTGTCTCGAGCCGCGAGGGCGGTTTCCGCAGCGCCGATTCACGATATCGCGGCCTTCGCCCCACAGCCCCGCAGTTTCGACGCTTCTTCATCGCCGGCA